GTGGTAGGTGGGCCTCTCACTGTTGTGGCCTCTTCCGTGGCGGAGCACAGGCTCCAGACGCGCAGGCTCAGCGGCCATGGCTCACGGGCCCAGCCGCTCCGCGGCATGTGGGATCTTCCCGGACCGGGGCACGAACCCGTGTCCCCTGCATCGGCAGGCGGACTCTCAACCACTGCGCCACCAGGGAAGCCCTAAGTTTAATATCTTGATTGTGGTGATGACTTCATGAGTGTATATGAACACATGTCAAAACTTATCAACCTATACCCTTAAATATGTGTAGATTATTGTTGTAGCTCAATAAAGCTGTTTAGGTTGTGATATAAAATCTTCTATTATTCATCAGTCATGCTGCAGCTCCAGAGACGAAACACTGAAAAAGACGGATACAGGACCCTCAATACAAAACTAGCAGTCTTAGCAGAGAAAACAGACACCAAATGCTAAAGTTTGATAAAGTCTATGAAGAATCAGGTACTGTGGAAAAGTACAGATTCTAATTTGTATAGATTCTATAGTATAGATTTTTACTAGATAGTCAAGAAAGGAATCTGAGTAACATGTAAACCAAGATGAAAGAACAGAGTATGAGTTAGCTAGGTGAAATATAGGAGGAAAATATATACATTTACTTAATGAAGAGTCTAGGGAAAAAATATAAGAACTGCTGGTTCAAAGGGCAGTTACAATTTTATACAAAAGGTTTTTTTGCTTAATTCTTTGGAAAAGAAAAAGACAAAGTGACATTTACTGTTTATGTAGCATAGGGGGTTTCAGAACAACTTAATAACATTTAAGACAAGGGACTAAAACTCAAAGCTCCAAGCAATTTGAGACCAGACACCACATCTTCATTCTCACATCCCAATTGGGAAGCTTCACACACCACAGGTGCCCACCAACAGTCTGCTGAATTAACATGAACCCCTTAGGTTGGTTATAAAAGAAATCAAACTGTCAGAAGTAGCTCAATCAGTTTTTAAAAGAATTAACCTCTTCTTCATCCTCCTCCTCAAGTAATTAATTCTTAATGAAAGCTCCTCATGTGAACTGTTGCAAAGCCTCCAAGCTGGTCTCCCCATCTCCATTCCCCTCATCTTCCAAACTCAATCTCCACAGAGCCTAGGAGTGAACTATTCAATCCCCAAACCTGCCACTTCCCTTCCACACTTAAAACCCTAAATGGCACCTCATCACCTCCACTTGTGCATCCCAAACAGAATCTAAAACCAACACTGGTGAAATGAGGGGCAAAAAAGAACAACTCAGTTTTTCATAAAGTTAATATATTCGATTAAGAGGACTATTTATTGTGAGATTTTGCTTCCTGCTTTTTTGGTGTCAAAATATCCTTTTGTTTATGAAAGGGTGGGTGAGTACGTGATAGTTCTTAAGAAACACCTGCACTTAGCAAATTAAAAAGTTGGTAAATCAATGACAGCTGAGCTTTATTTTTTATTTTAATTGCCCATGGAAAAGTCTGGGAAACATTGACTCACAGGATAAAGTCCAAAAGACAAAACGTGCCCTCACCTAAGTCCTCTCATTTTCCCAGTAGATTTTTTGCTCAGGCAATACAGCAATAGTGCCCTGCACACAACCTAATTTTTTCCCTTTGCTCATGCTTCCCATGAATGGAATGACCTCAACAACAACCTCTCTTCTTCATTCACTCAATGTACTGAGTACCCACTATGCCAAGCACAAGAGAAACACCACTGTATCCACGGAGCTCACAGTCTATTGGAGGAAACAGATATCAAATGTAGAGTTATTGATAAAAACTATAAGTACTGCCTTCCAAAGAATGGAATGAAGGAGCCCAAAATCGAAGGCAGGAAGCCTAGTCAGGAAGGTACTATAGTTCAGGTAAGAGATAACAAGGATTTGCACAAGGGTAGAGGCATGGAGAAGTCAAGATTTTGAGCTGACTAGATTTGCTGAGAAACAACAGGGGATAAAAGAGAAGAAATACACCAAAGGTCACTCTCGCATGAGCAATTATGTCAACCTGCACTAGTAGTCCCAATTTTTTATGCTTCCCTGGACCTATTATGCCCTTTGGTTTGAGCTTCCCATATTGACTCTAAGCTTTATTATACGACTTGCTTTGGCCAACGGGACAATAGCACACTTACTGCAATCAGAGCTTGAAAAACTCTTCAAGACAAGACTCTTGGAATAACCCTGTGCCAGCATGCTGAAGGATAAAGACCATCTGAAATCATCTTAAACCAGCCTACAGCCAGAGAAACCCCAAACATATGAGAAAGTACAGTCATGACTAGAACCACCTAGCTGACCTGTAGACTTGTAAGCAATAATAACTGCTTACTGTTTTGAGCCACTGAGTTTTGGGGTGGTTTTTTAATGCAAGGCTAACTAACATGGTGGTATCATTCATTTATATGGGGTGGGAGAGAGAAAGTAAGGGAATGAAAAGAAACATCAAGCTCATTTTCTCTTACCCTGATCAACTACCTATTCTTTAAAGCTCAACTTAGATATCAACTTCTTTTGGAAGCTTTCCCAGATGTTCCAGGCTGGTTTGGGAAAGATACTGAAACGTTATCAATATGTTTTGTACATATCCCTATCATTGCCTTACTGTCTTATAATTATTTGCTTACACTTTTCTTCCTAACTAGACAACAGCATTTCTATGTTACTGGCTGTGTCATACTCATCTTGATTGTATCAACATGTAACATAAAACAGGCTCTCAATAGAGATTTCTGAACTTATATAATTTATATATTAAATGAATAAACACGTATTTGATTCTATAAAACTTATTAACGCTAGATTATTTCTCAAAGTGTGATCCACTGACAACATGCATCAGAATCAGCAGGGCTGTGTATTAAAAATGCAATCTTTGAGCTCTTTATCATTAACAAAAATGCCATTCTTTACCTTGTAAAAACAAGGATGAATATTCCCGCCACCTACAGATAAACAAAACAAGTAGTAGAAGTGTGGGTACTAAACCAACTTTTCCTCAAACTTTTCTCGAGATGTAATCTACGATAGAGTCCTTAATCTGATGGTCCGTAGGTAATTGAAAACGCTCCTAACTGCAATGGAGTTTCTCTTCTAAGAACTGGGTCTCGGCCAGAGGAAACGGAAGCAGAAGGTCCTCCAAAGAGGTGTGACTTCTCAACGCACACGTTTATAGGGAATGCTCCAGGAGGAAAGCCTGCCCTGAGCTCTCTCCGCAGCAGGGGCCAGGCCAGGACAGACAGGCGGGCGGAGCCCAGAAAGCACCCGCATGCAGGACCTCAGAGCACGGGCAGCGGAGCCTAGAGCCGGCCCAGGGTCCCGCTACGGCAGAGCCACTCGAAGGAGGCTCCCTCGGGGGCCGGGGATGGGCATCATTCTCCAGAACCAGCCACTCTGGTCCACCCCTGCCAGGCAGGCCGTGAGGAAGGTCACGGTCGCCTGGCTACCCGGAGTCAGAAAAGAAGAAAATGCGGGAAGCGTCGAGTTTCGGAAGCCAAAAGGAGAAAGGAACAGAGTGCTAGGGGGCACCACCGCTACCCACCTGCGTCAAGCTCCAGCTGGTAACAGGGCAGCGGCTCGAGGGAAAGCTTATAACCCTCGAAGCGGGGATCCAACAGAGGTCTCTTCACCCGCAGGGAGCAATTAGCGGCCACCTCCATCGCCTTCCAGGGGCCTAGCGTGAGAATTAATAAAGTTCGGGTTGAAAGGTGCGCGCTTCACGCAAATTACCGTGGCTGGGAGACGGCGTGGTTCCCATCCCAGAAAACACTGCGGCGTAACATCCCTTCTGGGTAATGTAGTGCCCACGGGGAAGTTGGCTCTGTTGCATATTGGGATATGTAGTTTTTAGGGAACTGAATGCCCGTGCGACAGCAAGATCTGGACTCTCTTACCCAGAGGGCTGAGCGACCAGGAGGCGGCCCGCGCTGGTTAAATTCTCACATTATAGGCAGGGTGGCGAGACCCCGCCCCGGAAATGCGTGTGCTAGCTTTCTGTGTGCTTAGGTGCCCGAGCTACTGAGGGTCTAGGTCCGGGCAGCCGAAGAGTGTGGTAGGTAACGGTCGTCAGCGCAAGGGTCATTTCGTCGCTGGGAAGGGACGGCCCTCGCCCGCGGTGATGGTGGTGAGCTATGCCCGTGGTCCTCAGGGCCGGGACCCGGGCCCAGCCCAGGCTCCTTTCGATGTGCTGTCTTTCGTTAGCTTCCCCGACCCGTGCTCGCGGGCCTGTAGGGCTCTCCGACAGGGCGTGCTACCGGAGTTGGCCTGAAGCCAGTCTCGCTTTGTTTTCTGGCTCCTCCCCTCCCGCCTCTCCCGCTGTCTCCGCCCTATTCTGTTTGCCCAAAGACTGTCTGAACTGGGAGGGATCCCCTAGCGCCCTTGTTTTACCAGTGAGAAAACTGAGGCCTTTAAGAACTGACTTGTCCAAGGTCACTCTCCGTATTTTGGGGGCCAAGGCAAGATCAAGTTCAGTATTCTGCTAATGGTACGGACTAGACCTTAGTATTATTTTGAAAATGTTAGCCTCCAACTGCAAAAGCAAACATATCTTAGTCACTTCTCAACCTCTTTTTCCTGTTCCATTAAAAAAAAAAAAAAAAAACTCTGAAAACTCACTGCCAGTCTTGAGTCTTCATAGAGGCAGCGAGGTTGGGGACAACAAAAGTAGTCTCAAGTTGGTGACAGATAAGTGGAGTAACGTTAGCTTATTCCAAGTTTTAGTTTATCCTCCCTGTCCTTTTTACACCGTTTTGGTTGTCCGTTTTTACTGAAAACTGAGAATTTTCTAAGTTAGGAATTAATTTGAGATTTGTTTTCTCCTTAACCCAACCAGCAAGCTTTGATAAAGAGCATATACACACACACATACTTACAGCTAGTTTGGCAGTTGTAATTCTGGGTACATACTAGTGGAAAGTAAAGTAAAGCACTTCAGATCCTTACCCAGGAATTTCACTTTTCACAAACTGTGCTTACTCTTCTATTGATATTTAGGTTACATAGCTTCCCCCAAATTTTGAATACAGTTAATTAAGATGCAGAAATGATTAGCAGTCAGTTATTATGTGCGGTTAAAATATTTTGCGGCTTCTGGGGTCACAGTACCTGAGTTCAAGTCCTGCCTTCACCACTTTTCTATCTTGGTGCCTCAGTTTCCTCATCTGTAAAATACAAACTATGTTAATAGTACTTGCATAAAAGAATAAGATCTGGGAATTAAATGAGATTAAAAACAGTGCGTTAGCTCAGTTCCAGGTACATAAGTGTTTAATGTTACAGTAATTGTCATTATCCAAAGACTCATTAATAAAGGGTACATGGGGGAAGAAAATTGTAAAGTCATGATCATGACTTCTTGGGATGCAGTAAATAATATTAGGAGTAAGGACCTTGTTAACACACTGTTGAAATTTATCACCCCTTCAGTTGATAGACAGAATGTTAAATGTGTTTAGGTGCTTGAGAGGATTTAGAAGAAAATGCTTTGTAAGTGTTCTATATCTGAAAATACATGTTGATGTTCAGGTTAGCAAGATGAACAAAGATGCGCAGATGAGAGCAGCAATTAACCAAAAGTTGATAGAAACTGGAGAAAGAGAACGGTAAGTAATCGATTGTGTTAATTAATTACATTTAACATCTTTAAATTACAGTTATAAGAATCTAAAAAGTAACAAAACTGATGTCAGTGGAAATAATTACAGAAAATTGACATTATCAAAAGCAGTTCCTAACATCTGTTAAAAATGCTTAGGTCTGTTCAATATTGCAAGACTTGGAGGGAAGTGGATCATGTACAAAGATGAACAGGAAGTGACTCTCTCTCAAAAAATGTCTAATCTAATGGAGAAGAAAAATACATACCCAGATAACTACAATTGAAGATAAAATGTTACCCACTTTTTAACAGGGAGACAACATGATGGAACCAGTTTCAGTTACCAAGCTCTCTTAACCTCAGAGCAATGTGTGCTATTCCTACTCTCTGAAACATTCTTCTTCCTTCCCCCCATCTTTAACTAATTCTAGCTCATTATCAGGTCTTAATTTAAGTATCATCTCTTGTAAAAATCTGCTAACTCCCAAATACCTTGTTCCATCATAGTATTTAATCACTTTGTATTATAATCACCTCCTTTGCTAGTTTGTATCAATAGAATCTGAGTTCCTTGACAGCAGAAATACTACCGTATACCAAGCATCGAGCCTAGCACATAATTGGCCAGGTAAATATTTGAAGAATGAACAGGTTTGGAAGTACAGAGGAGAGTCTAAGGAATCAAAAAAGGCTTCCAGGAGCAGGGTGATAAATTGTATGAGATAAATATATATAAGGAACAAGAGGGATCTCTCAGTTCTACCTGGGGATTAAGGTAATCAGTAAAGCTCTCACAGAATAGTAGAAGTGGTACTTCAGCTGGGTAAGAAGGATTAGCAGTTCCCCAGCCCGGTAAAGGAGAAAGGACATAGTCTAGGCAGATGGAACCGAATATGCAAAGTCAAAGAGATTTGTTACAATATGATAATATTCTGGGGAACTGTGCAGTTAAAATGTGAAAGACAGTGGACAGGAGAAATGTGGCTTTTGTATAATCAGAAATCTTTCCATTCACAATGATAAGAAACTGAGTAACTGGCTCGGCCAATTTCTATATAAGATCGTGTGACTAAAAGTCTAGGGCTTGAAGGTGCTTCAGGCACCGCTGGGTCCAGGCACTCAAAAATTGTTGCCAAGAACATGTCTGTCTTTCCGTCTCTCATCTCTGCTTTCCTCTCTGTTGGCTTTATTCTCAAGAAGGCACTACCCACAAGGTGGCAGAAATTAGCGGTTCAAAATTTACATCTCTCCACCTGAGACTACCGTTCTCCTAGTAGTTTGAGCAAAGGAGCTAGCTAGATTACCATCCTACTTAAGGTAATAGGCCATTCATAATCAGCGTTGCCTAGGTCACATTTCCATTGCCAGAGCCCTACCCGGATTTCTTACACCGAGAGTTGTGGAGTGTTTTTACTGTCAAAGAAATGGCAGGAAAATAGGTGGTAGTTTGCAAAAACATCTGTTGTTGACTTTATCCTTGGGTGGTGGGAGTCATTAAAAAATTCTAAGAAAGGGACTGACTAGATCATATTTGCACTTTAGGAATGTTATTTTGGCAGTATGGAGGATAGACTTGAAGGGCTAGAGATAAATTGCAGAAGATAATAGGTTAAAAGTGGAAAACAGCAAAAATGGACAGAACTTACAGGTGTTTTTTTTTTAAGTAAAATCAACAACCCTTGACATGAGGAATGAGGAAGAAGAAAGCCTCTAGAACAGTGCCTTGGGAAACTGAGAGGATAGTATTGCCAATAATGGGTGTAGGGTATTATGTATTACTGTTTTTTTATCTGTTTTCATTCATGCAGCTTAAAGTTACTGAGTTTCTACCATATGCCATGTCCTGTTAGGTGCTGAAGATATAGTAGTGAACAAAATGAAGCCTGTTCTTTTACACAGCCTACATTCTAATGGGAGGAGACAGAAAATAATGTGTAATATGTCAGATGGTGATGAGTTCTAGAGGAAAAATAAAGCAGAGAATAATCAGGTGTGTTATTCTGGATAAGAAAAAAAAAGTAGGCTTCACTGAGATCAAAAGGATATGAGGGAGTGAGGGGACTCCTAAGAGCCATGGTCCTGACACAGGAGCTTTCCTGGCATTTGTTTTTCCTTGTGTGCCTTGTGGGACCTTAGTTCCCGGACCAGGGATGGAACCGAGGCTCCAGCAGTGAAAGCGCCAAGTCCTAACCACTGCACAGCCAGGGAGTTCCCTGGCCTGGCATTTTGAAACTAATAAGACTGAGTCAGCTGGGTGAAGGAGAGAAACAGTAAAGTCAGAGGCATTGCTTCGGAGGGGGCAGACCATGCAGGGTCATTTAGGTTGTAGTAAGGACTTGAAATTGTATTCTGAGTGAATTGGGAAGCCACTGGAGCGTTTTGAGCAGTGAGAGGAGAAGGATGTGTACAAGGGAAGTAGCAGGGGGACGAGTTAGGAGGCTTTGGCAACAGTCCAGTCAAGAGAAGATGTTGGCTTCAACTAGGTAGTAATGGCAGAGGTGGTGAGAAACATTTGGATTTCAGGTATATATTTTAAAACTGGAACCAATAGGATGTGCTTATGGGTTGGACATTAGTGTTATCAAAATTGCTGAGTGGGGCTTCCCTGGTGGCCCAGTGGTCGAGAGTCCGCCTGCCAATGCAGGGGACACCGGTTCGTGCCCCGGTCTGGGAAGATCCCACATGCCGCGGAGCGGCTGGGCCCGTGAGCCATGGCCGCTGAGCCTGCGCGTCCGGAGCCTGTGCTCCGCAACGGGAGAGGCCACAACGGTGAGAGGCCCGCGTACCGCAAAAAATAATAATAATAAATAAATAAAAATAAAATAAAAATTGCTGAGTGAAGGATGCTGCCAAGGTTTCTAGCCTGAGGATCCGGAAGAATGGAGTTGCCAGTCTGACAAGGAGAACAGCTTGAGCTGGAAGAGAAGCAAGAGTTGGGTTTTGTCCCTGTTACGATTAAATGACTTAAACATCTAGATGGAAATGTCACATAGTGGATGTTAGGAATACTGAAAAAGAAGCAGTTTGGTTTGGGACTTGACATGTTTAAGCTGAGAAATGAGGTGATTTAGGTTGAAGATTGAGGTTTTATAAGACTAGGTATTGCAGAAGGATAAAATATTTTATTGCACCCATGATGCCATTAGCTGTAATACACACCAATATTTTTTTAACCTTTAAGAATAAAGAAAATACTGCCAATTAAATGATGATAGGCATGCCAATTACTGACTTGTTAAAATGTGGGAAAACACAGTCTTAGAATTAATGAAATACCATAGTTAATGTGTAATTTAGAAGGATAATGAGAAAAAGGGAGGGGCAAGTCTATGAGATTAGATATATTAGGGGCAATAAGAGAGCTAATGGGTAAGAATTTGTAGTTAAAGAATGGATTTTGGAGTTTGAAGATTTCAAAAGTACGGCTGCTTGAAACTCAACTAATACCCTTCTGAAGTTGTACAAAACCCACAATATTCCTGTTGGAGGGAAGTAGAAAGTGTGTAAGAAGGTCAGAGAGTAGGGTTTCTTAAGAAGAATTGTACCCCATCCACTTCATTGAATTTTACTGATGACAAAAATGAGGCCCAGCATTTAAATGACTTGCATAAGATCAAAGAACTTTTTAGTGGTAGAACCAAGATTAGGCCATTGTTAAAGTTTTATAACTGGAAGGTGGGATTTTTAATTGAACAGTTGAAGCTTTGCTTCAAGCATTCCTATCTAAGATATTGTACACTTGAACACTATTGTAGTTTAATTTGGAAACACTTCTTTTTCAACAGCCTCAAAGAGTTGCTGAGAGCTAAATTAATTGAATGTGGCTGGAAGGATCAGTTGAAGGCACACTGTAAAGGTAATCTGTTTCATTTAGAAGATAAGCTAATTCCATAGCTCTCAACTGTGTTGGTTTGGAATTCATTAGAAAAATTATAGTCAGTATTTTAAGATATATTGAGTGCTCAAGCATAATTTTAAACAAATAGAAAATTGAAGCTTGTGGTAATAGATTACCTCCTCTCAGTGATAATATGTAGACCTATTCCTTAATTTTTAGAAATTTTCTTTGTGTTTCTCTTAAAACAAGTGAGGCAAGATTTCCTCTGGCATGGAATAAGGTGGGAACCTTTTTTGCTGTGCCTACTCAAAGTGAAACATTAATTATTCCTAGTCTGTTTTTCTTAACACATTGAGCACTTTACGGTTGGCAGACTTACAGGAATTATATCTCCTATCTTTAACAGTGTTATTTTTGAAAAAATCATCTATGAAAGCTCTTAGAAAATTACATGTATTTTTAAAATGATAAAATGGGAGCTTGTTAAATTGCAATTAGGTATTGATGATTATGCCATTAGATACAATTACAAGTGTCACTAAGATGAGCCTCCTTCCTTTCTGGCTCAGCTTTTGGTATGCTGGAATTCTGGATATTTATAATGAATTCTCGTATTGGTTTCTACAAATGATAATAGAAACTATTTATATCATTAACCGGAAGAAGGCAATGTGCCAAATTAATAAAAGCATAGACTTTGAGGTCATACAGACCTTCACTGGTTAGAGCTGGATTTCAAGTCGTGTTTGAATGAGTTATTTAATCTTTAAGCCTCACTTGCCTCACCTTTGAAGTGGGAAAAATGCCCAGCCTGTCAGCTTATCGCAAATATTAAATGATGCAAAGCACCCAGCACATAATAGGGGTCCAATAAGTGTAAACTCCTTTCTCCTTCTTTTGGCCCAGCCTAGAGAAGAGAAAGGAGCAAAGGAGTTGTTCTATATTTTAATTTGGGGCTGTGAAATTACAAGTTAGACTTAAATTACAGTTTTTTCCCTCCATACATTCAATAGCTGATGTGATTATCGTGAAATAAGATCTCTGCAGTTGTAAGTTTCCAGTTTTTTACAAATATTAGATTTGAATTTACAGTTCAGATTCATTCTAAGTGTTACAATAATTTGTTTTATGTTTTTGATCTGGTGAATACGTACTGTGTTTAAGGTTGAAATAAACCTTCATTAGAAAAGAAAAAAGAAGTGTCCTCTTTTTTTTTTAAAGACCAGTCTGTACTCTAAAAACATGATCTTAACCCTTCCTCTATGAAAATCTTTCTTGCAGATAATGATTTTAAATGATATGATTTGTTTTTTGCTTTTGCATAAGAGGTAATTAAAGAAAAAGGACTAGAACACGTTACTGTTGATGACTTGGTGGCTGAAATCACACCAAAAGGCAGAGGTAAGGAATGAATACAAATTGTGTGAAAGGAATTGTGGGCTAAGACATGATTTTTTTTTTTTTCTCTTTTGCTGGTGCAGCTTTTCTTTCTTTTTACAAGGACAAGCACCCTTTCCAAAATTATGTGGGTACTTGCATCTCCTCTTTGGGAAGAGTTATAGTTGCCTCACCAACTTTTGTGCATGGTCTTGAGTAACAAACAAGTAAGAGGTGTAAAACGTTTTTGCACTGTTAAAACAGTACACAAATGTAAGTTGATGTGGTTGTTAGAACAGATCATTTTTAAAATACAGGATTTTGGGCTTCCCCGGTGGCGCAGTAGTTGAGAGTCCGCCTGCCGATGCAGGGGACACGGGTTCGTGCCCCGGTCTGGGAGGATCCCACGTGCCGCGTGAGCCATGGCCGCTGGGCCTGCGCGTCCGGAGCCTGTGCCCCGCGGTGGGAGAGGCCACAACAGTGAGAGGCCCGCGTATCGCAAAAAAAAATAAATAAAAAATAAAATAAAATAAAATACAGGATTTTGTAGAGGCAAATATTACCTGAAGCTAGGATTTGTAAACTTTAGCCTGATATTTAATAATTCAGAGTTTTACACCAGCCCCTGAGTCATTGCTCTCTTTCCTTATTAAAAGTAAACAAAAATGTCTTCTTGAATGTCTAATTACGAATTTGGTAGCTCCATAACTTCATGGTCAGGGTAATTCATATTTAAGACTCACACTTCAACTACCTTCTTAATTTCTCCCTTTAATACCTTGTTTAGAGAAGCCAAAGGAAAGAGAGGAAGTCGTATATTAACAAACTATTAACAAAATATTTATATGTAATAAATATTAAGTCAGGAATTACATCATATAATTAAGTGTAACAAGATTATTTTCATCATTTCATTTGAGGAAGTCAGTGGGGGGAGGGAGAGTTGTATTATAAGTGGAAGCAGGTAAATTAGATGGCCCATTAGTTATTTCCTCACACAGAAATAGTAAAAAGAATTTAAGTGTGAAAAGTAAATGATTTTAAAATTATTACTAGGGAATACTAGTCCCCTGAACTGCTACCATGTGGAAGGAGCTACAACATCTCATGGTCCTTTCCAGCCATCTTTTTAGGGCTGTTTACAGCTAAACAACATGACTTTTTTGGTCAATCATGTCTCAGGAAAAGGAGGGGGAAAAAGCAGTATTTATTGTTCTCCCCATGGATTTATGTTTTAAAATAAATTTCTATAATTTCTTTTTCTACTTTTCTTCTGTAATTTATGCTTAATCTGTTAACATTTAAGAACTTAATCTGTTAACAGGGTACAAATCATCCTTTGCTTCTCCTTCAATACTTGTGTGTTGGACATTTCAATCCGTTGTAGTTCCCTTGCTAGAGAATGAGCAAAAAAGAAAAGAGAAGTAAAAATAAATCTTTTCTTTTATTTTCATAGTGTTCTTTTTATTGTCGAGAGGTATTTGTTTTTATTTTTTAAATTAACATACAGTAAAATTGACCCTTTTTTAGTGTCAGTTCTGTGAACTTTATACACATGTATAGATTCACTCTAAAAAACTCCCTCAAGCTGTTCCTTCATAGTCACACCACATCTCTAACCCCAAGGCAGCTGATCTGTTCTCCATCACCATAATTTTGATTAAAAGTATATTTAACATATATAGTGATCACATTTGCAGTGGACTTGAATTAATTATGTAGTCTTTATTTCTAGGCAGGCTTACAGTAAATTTATAAAGAGGAGTATCTGTATAGTTAATTCCTTATTGTCCTTATTTTTAATAGCCAAAAAGGGGGAAAATAGTGTAGATTTATTTATTGACATTTAATATTAATTTAAATTTCAAAGAGCAGGGCTTTTTTTCCTTTTTGTTTTTTTTCCATGCCACACGGCTTGCAGGATCTCCGTTTCCCAACCAGGGATTGAACTCAGGCCACACAACAGTGAAAGCCTGGGATCCTAGCCACTAGGCCACCAGAGAACTCCCATTTTCCCATATTTAGTTTAATATTCTGAGTAGATAATACAGTTACATGGTTCAAAATTTTAAAAATAAGCCTATAACAAATACAGCTACTGTTGAAGCTTTTGCCTTTGCTCATTCAAGTATATGCATTTATTTCAATACAGTATTGCCAAATTACCTTCCCCAAAATGCCTTGTCAGTTTATTCTCCCACCAGCTAATATGAGAGGGCCAGTTTTCCCTCAGTCTTGCCAATACATACATTACTGACCTTTGGATTTTAGCCAGTCTCATTGGTAAAACATGCTATCTGAATGTGGTTTTAATTTTCATTTCTGTTGTGAGGTTAAACTCCTTTTACATTCAAGAACTATATGCCTCTCCTTTACTTCATCTCCTTTGCTCATTTTTCTGTAAACCTGCTGATCTTTTTCATATCAAATTGAAGAAATTGTGTAGTAGAGAGATTAGCAGTGTTTTCTGTTTTTGTTTTTGTTTATGGTAATTTTGACCAAGCTTATTAAGTTGTTGCATTTGAATCAAATTCATCAATCTTTTACAGCCTCTGTTTAAAAAAGGCCTTTTCTATTTCTAGTTTAAAGAATTTTCACATGTGCAATATATTTTTAGGTATTGGATAGTTCATTCAAATAATGAATTGCAAATATACTTTATTTTCTCAAATGTCTTTATTTTTTTATTGAAGCATAAGGGTTACTTTTGAAATTATTTCATTGGTAGTCTGAATAAAATACCAAATCTCAAATTGACATATATTAATTGGGATCTTCTTTACTCTTATGTTTTTATTTTTATATTTCAGCCCTGGTACCTGACAGTGTAAAGAAGGAGCTCCTACAAAGAATAAGAACATTCCTTGCTCAGCATGCCAGCCTTTAAGATTGAATTAGATTGTGTTGTTTTGTGGTTTTATTTCTGAAAGTAAAACTTGCCATAAATTAGGAATTGATTTCCCAAAATAAAATCCTTTTTTGTATGATGGTATACAGTTTTCAGTAATGATGTATACAATTGTATTGATTTTTTTCCCTAAATGTGTTATTTTAATAAATATCTCATGAATGAGTTTGAAGTTTCCTTGGATTTTAGAATAAATGGGACTTTATTAATAATTCATCAAATTTGTTAAGAGAAAAAGTCAAGCATTGAATATAGTTTAAGTGTTAAGTATGTAAATGTTAAGTAAGCAAATCTCTGTAATAACAATTGAGGAGAGGTAAGCAGCCTCTTCTGATTGTTTGGATGTAGTGTATGCCTCTTTTGAATTCCTATCATATTTTATAATATATGTCCCACCTTGTACTACAGATATCTTACTTCTTATTTGTTATAAACGCTGAGGGTTAGGACCGGGTCTTACTCATCTTTATGTGCCTTCCTTATTCCTCAAAGAATTTACCATCTTATTGGAAGAGAGAACATTTGCAAACTGGCTCCATACCAGGCTCCTCTCACATACTCTACTCATCTGAACTTTGAAAGCAAAAACTAAATTGCATCCCCACTTACTAAGGTCAAGAAAGAACTTAATGGGAAATAATCTCCACCCATAGCTTTACTCTGACATCAAGATGGGCAAATCCATGGACTTTTGTCTATTCTTATGTGACCTCTGCTGGAAAACGAGAATGTTGACCATCCAGCCACTTGGAACTCTTCCCACTGCTCACGTTGTTTATACCTACCACTGGAAGCTCCTTCTCTTTCTTGTGGATACCTTTTGCTGTATGGAACTTTAAATAATGGTGTTTCTTAGTGCTCCCTCTGGGCCCTCTGCCTAATGATATAATTTCCTGGGCAGATACCAGGAAAGTTGGGTCGGACCATGGCTTCAAATACTAACAGGTTGATAAATGTTAAATTGCATCTCCAACCCAGCCTCCAGATCCATATACTCAACTGCTATGGATCAGCTTCCTTGAATGTTCCATAAACACCTCAAACTGACCCCACCTAAGAGTGATTTTCTTTTTCCTCCAGTAACTGCCCCTACTGTGTGGTGCCTCCCAGACATACAGATTACCTGAGGAGCTTGTTAAAATACTGATTCTGAAGGCAAGGGAAACGGCACAAGATTCTGTATTTCAGGCAAGCTTCTCAAAACACGCTTGTGCTGCTGATCAAGACCATTTTGAGTGTAGCAAGACTAAATTGTCTCCCTGCCTGCTTAACTTAGGCTCTCTTAGTTCAAGCCCAGATTACTTCAGTCGGCTCTTAATATTTCTGCACTCCAGTTGCTCCATGTTTCCTCCAACGTATCTTCCACATTAGTGCTTAAGTGACCTTTTACTAAAATTCAAGCCTGGTCATTTTATTCCCCTACTTGAAATTTCTCAATAACTTAGTTTACAAGGTAAAATTCAAGCTCTGCCGTACCACCTAGGCCCTTTTTGATCTGCCATTTACTTATTTCTCTGGGTAAAGAGTCCCCAAAAGTACCAAGTTGTTACACCTGTAATGCATTGGAAAATCCACGAAAATGGAAAGCCTTTCTACTTATGGCATTCCTACTTGGCCTTCAAAACTCAGCTTGAGTCATTGCCGAAATATTCTGACGTTTCTTGCTCTGGTTTAGATTCCCCACCGTTTTTCTGTAAGAAGCACCTGTGCCTAATTTCAACACTGTTTTTCCAACTTCAACATGCATCTCCTGGAGGGAAGGAAACATGACTAATTTTTACTTTGTATGATACTCATTTGTGGATGAATGGACAAAGGAATATATGAATGCACTAGTGAATGAACATTATAGGAGCACCAAAGAAGGTAACAATTGAGTGTAGCTGAGGAAAGCCTTTATGTTAATTTTTGGTTCATGTTCTAGAGATACAACTTTATATTTCTGATGAATTTATAGTTTAAGTGTAGTCACTGAACCAACTAGACTTAATTATGTAAATTTTGAGTCCAAGATACACACACAATCATAAAACTACCCCAAAGAATTTTTTGTTTCGCCTCATCTCTTGTAAAGCAATGATCCAAAGTAATGATAGTTATATTCACCATTCTGCTACCAATTATCAAAAAGGAAACAATCTTAAATGGTACATAAATGTTAAAAATGAGTATTTTTTATTTCATAGTACTGTATATGAAAGCGAATCAAAAATTGCTCATAGAAATAACTTTTAATAGCTCAAAAGCAAACATGAAAATGGAAAGTTATGAAAATATTTTGAAATGGAACAAAAATAGCTGAATCGAAAATATGTAATAGCAATTCAAAATACTAAAGAGCCTAGATTTAAAATAATAGTGCTGATAACTCCCCCACCACCTCTAGGTTTTTTTTTGACATCTTAGAAATTATAGTTTGCATCTAGAACACTGATACCTTTCAAATAAACCGACTTTGTGTATATTTTGACTCACATCACTGATTTATGTAAACTAGGAACACATTCTTTAAAAATCTTGCACCCTTTCGTGCTCAATGTTGGAAATTCAATAGAAGGTTACTGTTACATGACTGTGCTGGGTGAGTAAAATACTAATTAAGATTACCATAAGCTTCTCTTGTATAGGATTAAAGAAGACCTAAGTAAATTATTTAGTAATCGCTTTGCTCTGGCATCACAGGTGTATCATTTGGTTGCACAGTGCAAAGCCAGGGCCTGGGTTTTCTGGGGATTGGTAATTGGATATGGGACATTTCATAACTTGAAAAAAGACTCCATCCAACTCAAGAGAATTGTGACAGCTGCTCAGTAGCTGACGTTGGAAATGATCCAATGTGTGTGTGTGTGTGTTAACTCTTCTTGTAAATGGCTATCTCATGTTACTCAGTGACTCCATAAAAACCCCTCATATTTACCATTAGAAACCACACAAAAGTCATTGGATGAATCTTCCAAGAAAACTAAGAGGTGCAATCAGACTATTTGAACTGTGTTCTCATCTATTATACTGAATTATCAGGTAAGGCTGACTCTTCTGCCTCAGTTTCCTCATCTGCTCAACAGATCTGATAATGCTGACCTGGGAAGAATGAAAATTTTTAAAACTGTAAATATTATTAGTAGGATAATTATAAAAAGCAATCTGGGTAATCAGAAAAAGCAATAGGGATTCACATTACTCCTAGGAAAAACTAAAAATATGTAATTATTTACTATGTGTCTTCTAGATTTATTTAGATACATGAATTACACTTGTGTGGAAAATAGCTGCTTTTATTTTTCAGGAATTTATAAATAATATTAATTGCCATGAGAATACCTACAAAAATAAAGACCAGCATAACTTGATCAGAATAGGAAAAAAATCACTATAATGGCACTTAGCAGGGTGAGTTGAAATTATCTTTTTACCCTCGTTTTACTATGACACAAACTGTATCCCACTTATCTTTTGATCTTCGGTGTGAAACAGAGTAAATTCTTGACATGTTCTTTTAAATGAATTAATAAATAAACGGCAAAAGGGAAAACCTGTTTATTCCAGACTTCGAATTTATTTGGTTATTCTGCTTATCAGCCACCAGGGGGCATTTGAAGCCTGTATGTTGATCCTCTCGGGGGCTCACTGAAATGTGTTCTCATTTCAACAGGCCCAAAAGCAGGCCAGTCAGCTTTTTCAAGATGGAAAGTGTAATTGAATTAAAGCTTAATATGAGGATCTCAGAATGTGCTTCTGGTATAAATTAAGATGAAGCTACACTGAGATATTATTTTACTGGGATAAGAATAATAATAATGTAGATATTATTTTACTGGGATCATTTTCTGAAGCCAATTTAGTAATTCAGGCAGCAAATTGATTTAAATAGCATACACCACAACTGAAATGATTCTATTTCAGCTATTTTATCAAAAAAGAAGCACAGTGTGTACATTAATAAATAAAATAATTTCCAGTATATTTTCCCTGTCATGCTCCTCTCTCAGAAAGCCCTTTTAAAAGGTAATAATATTCATATTTTCCTTTTTCTTACTATGTAACTTTGTTAAAAAATATACATATGTGCATAAATAAAGCATTATATAGTTCCAAACCCTGTGGACATTCAATGAACGTTGGATTATGATGACAGTGGTGAAGAAAGCCAACAAATGAAGGCAGGCAGAATCTGCACTCATGGTGCAATGTTGCTCATAAAATAGTTTCGAGTACAGCAGCTGGTACTTACCACATCTATAAATGCTTTGGCTTTGTGCCTGGGATCACCAGAATTAAGTGATAATAAATGCCTTTCATTTACTTTATACCTTCGTATTCTAAAATTATTTGTGGAGGGCACAGCTTTGAGAATTTATCCTTCCTAGGCAGCTAGTTATATCAAAGTTGGGCTTTGGCAGGGTAAGAGGCACTAAATAGAGTAATTGAAATAGAGATGTCCATTAAACCACAGCCTGTGTGACTGGGTGATTTAGGTAGTGATACACATCGTGTCATTTGGGGAGTGTTCAGTGTGGCTAGTACAGTATGTAAGTGAGTGCTCTGGTCTCAGTTCTACCACTATTGTGCTTAAAGACTTCATCAGTCACTTAAATGTTCTACGTGCAGTTGCCTATCAATAACACATCTCCTTTCCGCTAGGGATGCTGGGAGTATAATAAAGTATGGGAATTATGGGCACTCCTCTTCGGAGGTGTGACATAAAGTCAAAGTTATGGTAAAGGACTTTACAAGTCCTTATATATATGCTGTACTTTTCTCCTTGTAACGGTGCTCATAAAACAGTTTTGTGTATGGAGTCTATCTCCCATATTTTACCCCATCCATAAACATCGGGCTTTCAGCAGACGTATTTCATGATAAAGCACTGAGGCTTTCACTGCTCAGCTGCATTTCCTATGTTCCTGATGCAATTCTTTCACTTTACAGAGACTTTGTAGAGACCTCGTCAGTTAATGACCCCTTTATCATTATTATCCATCACTCCCTTCATGTTCTTTCTTCCCTCCCTACCCACTTAGATTTGATGGTTTATCATTAGAACTCCTATACAATTACCCTGAACTTCTCTCTTCTTTTTTTCTAATCTCACACACAGTCGTGCTTAAACCTAGTTACCCTGAGCGCTTCCTCGCTGCATGCACCTGATCTCACCTGAACTCTGTTGAGGAAAATCACACAAC